AAATGACTGTAATGTTTTTGCCAAAAATCAGATGAACCATCGCGTAGCTCGACTAAGCATTAGAGATGTTTCCATTAACTCACCCCGGTTTGGATGGCTTTGGATGGAATTTGGAATATATAGCAGTATACTGTTTACCCCTCACAAAATCATTCTCATCACTATTCAAGCAATAAATATGCTTTCGCTGAAAAGAGAAGCGATTATGACTTCGATCATTAGACTAAGAGCTGGTGATTGAAGAAGTAAACCAAGTTGCCACTTACGCACTCCGGGAGGCTGCACTACTTTGTCTAAAAGTTCCATGGACGTTTTAGGCCAGATGCGAAGGATAATATTACGGACTTCTTCGTTGGCTTTGTCTATTGATCCTTTTCCTAAAGAACATAAGAAAGAAAAATTCCATGGTTGAAGCGACGATACGCAGCTCCCTATGCGATATATAAATATATGCGTTATTGACCAAGCGTGAGGTCAAGACGGCTGGATATTGACCGAGTTTTTTACGCGTTTTTAAGGACCGAAACGAAGTCTAAGTCCATAAAAACGCAAAAAAAGAACGAAGCTAATATGCAGCCATCTTGACCAGACAAGCTTGGTCAATAAAGGATTTTTTTATAGAGCAAAAAGATCTCGCTTTAATACGAATCAAGATTGACTAGTTTTATTTGTGTTCGATTTCGTACCTTCAGGTCTTTTTATGTTTAAGGATGATCTGATTAGTCCAAAAAGTGTTGCATTGAAGTCTACCATTCCATCTTTGGTCAGCGGCATGTTCATAGTAACAAGGCGCTGTAGAAAAAAAAAAAAGGACAAATATTCTCATCAGTTGGTGCTAAACTTGTGCTTTAAGCCACTGAGATTATTTCAGTTTTGGATTTATGACAACGCTGTATACATCAACTAGATCAGTATCTACCTTGCAAGCTTCTCTGTGAGGACAAAATTTTCCAAAGCCCAGAGGAGGGGCGATTCGCTTTAGAACAGTCACTATATCCACGTGTTTTACACAACCATGTGCATCAGGGTCGTACTCGGACCACACCCTCACGTACTCGTCCAAATGGTGAGGACCAAGAATTGACCAATCGCGAGTTAAGTAGTCAAAGTTGTCCATGATGACGGCAACGAACAAATTGATTATCTACAACAGAGTGAAATGGATAGAAAATTTAATTGGGCTGGACACGGATGGATTATAACTCTTAACCTTCTCGTTCTCTATACAGGTGCTTTTTCGTGGAAAAAAACGAGGCTGTTAACAGTCCACCAGAAAGCACATACCATGTACTACACCCGTCTATATATTTGCCTCGTATACTACATATAGCTCACAAAAACAAGAAGTGTCGAGAGAAATGATCGATGGAAATTGCAAAGACAGCTTTGTTTTGTTTCTATCAAGTAGCGTGTTGAAGTCTGGATCATGAGAAAATGGGCCAGAACGCCCTTAATAGCCCATTTCCAAATTACCCTTGGCCTCTTGTTCAAAACGAGGCTTGGTGCTCAACCATTCTTGTGAAAATTAGTTTAATTAGCATGTGAATAAAAACTTATAGTCGTATGAAAGGATGAGCACTAGGACTCGTTTTGAAAATGAGGCCAAGGGTAATTCGGAAATGGGCTATAGGAGAGATCCACAGAAATCATTATTCCCAAACCAGGTACTTTTTTCCATTTATACCAATTTCAGTTATTCTCACCAAGAACGAACAGATGGAATAAAAAGACACAAAATAGAAATAAGCGAAGTCTGAGCCACATAACCCAGATGGCTCCTGCGGGTCAGCGTTCTGGTCACACTTGACATCATCACGATGCGTACACGCCAACATTATCTGTTGCCAGTTTTCACCCGTTGCGGACCTACAGATAAGAATGCAAAGTGGGGTGAGCAGTGAGCTCTGTGATAGCTTTGCAGAGGTGTATAAATCACAAAGAGAGAGACAAAGAGCGTTCAATTTACCTGAAAAGTACCATAAGGGACTGAGGAAATGTCTGAAAGTTGTTGTTTCTGTTGATCGCCGTGTCGGAGTTAATAGCAATACGACCGAACATCTGTGGAAACAGAACAACAAGATGTAAAGCAGCTATCATCATTGTTTTGAAATTAATTTATATTCACTTCGAACAAAGAGGTCAATCGCTCATCTTCTGGAGGTTAAGTTGTCGCACTTTTAAGTTCTATGGTCGCGCCTCCAATCTGGGCATTTTGAAGAAGAAAAACCACGACAATAGAGCGGAGAATGGATGAATGAAGCGTTTAAAATCTCTCTCTTTGAAAACTGAGATCATACCTGCATCCCAATCACAGCATAGATGAAGAACATCATAACAATAAGAAGAGCCACATAGGGAAGAGCCTGGAAAGAACAGAAAATAAAAATTTGTATTTCAGAGGGGAACGGTAAGGCTGTGATTTAGAGGGGAGGAGAGGAGGGGGGCAGGGGAGGAGGGGAGGAAGGAAGCAGACAACGACTTTCACATAAGGGACATTATCAGAAGAGCTCACTTGAAATGACTTGATAAAGGTCCAAAGGAGAGTCTTGATCCCAGACCCTTGGTTGAGCAGCTTGACGAGACGCAGGGCTCGAAACAAACGGAAGAAACCAAAAGCAAACATTTGCTCACTCTGAAGAGGAAAAAAGATTACAATAAAATAACAAATCACATGATTTACTAAAGTACTCCCAAGCGCCAATTACTTCACGAAAATGTGTTCATGTTGAATTTCTTTCAAACACTTATTAATTTAAAGCTTGCTCCTTAATCTTTAAATCATTATTTTGTAAGTGAACAATCTTCATTGTTAGCAGTTTACTTCAATGGAAGCAGTTTAATCGCGAGGCTTCAGTTACAACGTTTACTCAACCTACGTTGAATGTTTTTCTAAACCACTGAACGGTTAATAACCATCTGCTATTACAGACTACGCACTTTAACGCGCTTCAACCGTCTTATGGGCAAGAAAAAGACGACCCACTAGTCAGGACAAAACTATAGAACGCTTCGCTCGCTATTCGTCGTCCATTATATATCCTTCAGTTCTTTTTGATCAGTGTGACAGATACACATTAGCAACCGTTTTTTCCTGTAAGATTACGAGCTCTTTAGTTTTGTAATTTTTTTGACACAACTATTTGAGAAATCTGAAGACTGCGTTTTATTCTTCATGTTTTTTTTTTTTACATGATAAGCCAACCTGTACTCGTATTTTGATTGGTTCTTAATCATGATCTATTGGAGGACAGACGCATAGATGACGTCAACATTAAAAACGTTTTGCTTTTTAATGATATAAAACAAATTATATTCCATATGGAATCTATTTGTTTGTTAAACAGTACTTAGGGTTAATCGTTAGTGAATCAAAATTTATGATTTTGTTTAAGTAATAGTTAGCTAACTCGTGACCAGTTGGAGCGGGTCTTTCCGTTTTTAAGCTAAGAGTTTTTAGTGTTAATTTAAGGTTTGTTTATCTTCTTACAATTCTCTGAATACGCCCATCGGAGCCACTATCCAGTGCTATCTCCAGCTCCGAAATACCACGATGTCTCCTGAAAACATCCTACAAAAGGTAAAGAGTCTTTATGCTTTTAAATGATTTAGCTGTTTTGATATCTAATGTAGGGCTCGACACAGTAGCCAACTAGCCAAAGACTAGTAGACATTCAGGTTTGGCTTCTGGTTTTTGATTTCCACTAGCCAGTTTAGCCAGTAAACAAACTGAAATTGTTGTAATATCTAAGTTGTCGCTAGCCACTTAGCTAGTAAGATGAAAAGTTAATGTCGAGCCCTGTAGTGTGAATATTTATCAGGAATTTAACCTTTTATAACCTAACATCAGTATGCATATTCTCCGTACTTTTTTTTTATACATTTCCTAAGCTGCTGATATGGAGAATTTGTTAAACAATCACGAGCTTCTTTAGTTAGTGATTATTTCTTTTATTCTCCTGATTTTCATGTTTGATTCACGGCTGATAATGTTATGAGTAATAAGAGGCTAAGCACTCCGGCTTGGGGAAAAATGATGCAGGACAATTTTAGAGCGATTCATTCGCTAACAGGGAGGCAGGTCTTTTTCGGGTGTATGGAGACCGTTAGAAATTTATTGTATTACAAAGTACTAATGTGATACTCATTGAAGAGAAGGAGAAGAAACCTCCAAGGGAAAGTTGCGGATTTTTACTTCTATTTTGAAAAAAAAATATTTCATAAGTAACAACATAAATGGTGTAACCCTTTGACATATGTCTTCAAACTGCAGATTAATCGGTATTTTTGCGCAGGTAATGAGAGGGACTGAGTACGAATGAACAGGATCAGACTGAGACTGGGGAGACTAAGCGCTTTGCAATCTAAAAAATTTAAGGAATGCTTCTTTTGTGTAAACCAGTAAAAGCCTCCAAGTGAATTTGAGGACTTAAAGTGTAATTCATTCCCTTCATATTTCTCGTGATCAGTCCAAGAAACCGGCGCTCAGTAACTTGAATCGCGATAACCACCTAGGCGAGAGAGCAGAAACGCGCACGAGAAACAGTTCCCTCTTTCTCCCACGCACGTGACGTTTCCCTGTACGTGCCGATACAGAACACTCAGCAAGTAAAGGAGTTAACACATTCAATTAATTCAAAAGACTAGTCAGCGGATTTCTAAGTGAATGTACTCACCGAAACTTCATTCATTGTGATATCAATAATGCTGCCGACCACAATGATGAAGTCAAAAAGATTCCATCTGTCTGTAAAATAATTCTGATTGAAAGAAAAAGGACACATAAGAAACACAGTGTAACACAATAGGCCATTTTACAGTTGTGTACTTAGTTGCCAAGCCTTTGATTCAGAGTGAGGCTGAAGGTGACCTTGTTGTGATAGAGACCTGTATCTAGTTAGCATGATAACAAAGTGATTTACATTTGAAAGGCAGCAAGGTTTGTATCATAACAAGGTCAACCCTAGCCTCACTCCCGTTCAAAGGCTTGGCAACCAAGCACACAACTGTAAAATGGACTATTGGACTCCCCAATCCAGGGGGGAGTAGTAACACTCCTGTTCGCATCATGCCAAGGAAATTGGAATAAGCAGTGGCTGGATGAGACCCTTGGCTCGAGTACAGACTTCAACTCTCATGCAATGCTGTCATACACGACACAGAACATTGTGTGGCAAATGACTATAAACTATCAAGAAACTGTTCCTTACAGTGCGGAGTACGCTCGCAAGAGAGCATTCAACGGGACTACAGACAACAACATACGTATGTCTCACCTTTGGTTTAAAAGCGATGAGCTTCAGTATACACTCCAGAAGAAAAACTGCTGTGAAACCGATGTTGAAGCCGTCCAATACTCTGGTGTAAAGTTTTGGTTCTTGATAATACTGGTGTAAGAAAACACAAAATAAATAAGTTCAAGCAAGACACGTGAATATTCCTTGTAGTTCAAAGAGCAAGCGGGAATTTGGGTCAAACTCTGCATACTTAGTCCTCTGGATAACAAAAAAAAAAGAAAGAAAAGAAACAAACGATACCAGAAGCAGAGAAATCACGAAAGATTGGGATATGCAGAATGGGGGTAATTTGAATAATTTTTAGGACACAGTCAAATGGATATTTTTGGTTAAAGCCCAAACTGATTACAACTTTGTATCCCATAGGTCAGGCAGAGATCTCTCACGCATGCGCACCACCTTTGCCTTACTTTCTATCGCTTCTATTTTCAAACTTTATCAATGTTTTCGACAAGCTTCTGAAGTAAAATTGATTGCAAGAATAAAGGATATTTCTGTTCAGACAGCTTCGGTAGTGTGCGAGACTTTCAAGATGAGTCACGCAACTTTATGAAAGTGTGACATACCTGCATCATTAAAACAACTGTGTTGCACACAATAAACGCGAATATCAGATATTCAAAGGCTTGTGACGTCACCACGCGCCATATATGGAACTGAAGGCGATTTTCAGGTATGTAACGTTTCAGCGGTTTGGCTTTCAGTGCAAATTCTATACACTGACGCTGAGGAATGGAACAAGAACAACTTTGTTCGTTAGATAAAAGAAATAAAGCCTTACTGTAATATTTCAGTGATCAAAATAGCGTAGTTTTGTTTCGAAACGGATTCCTCATTGACACTGCATCAAAACGAACCAACAGCAGCCAAACTAAAACATCGCCTTAAACATCATGTAGTCGATTACCACTTTACGAGAATACCATTAAAAGGATAGTATAAATTTCGCGTGCAGTTCACATATTTCTATTTCTTAATTAAGTGTAAAGTTTTAAATTAGTTAGCAGGTCCACATCAGGACTTTGCNATGCAATAGTGAAAATCAGACCTGAAAAAAATCAGGCCTGTACGGGATTCGATTGGTAGAGCGCTGTACTAGTATCGCAAAGGTCAGTGGTTCGAATCCCGTACAGGCCTGATTTTTTTTTTTCAGGTCTGATTTTCACTATTGCATAAATAGCGCTCTCTACTGCGAGGATCGTGCATCGTACGTAAATATTTTCTTTATTAAAATCTTTTTTTCCTAACCAACTTAGTGTTTCATGTGGTCGTTGGTCTTACTTCTTCCTTTTCTCGTTTAGCTCGCGGGGCCGCATGGATTTATATTTATATGCACCGCCCCTCGCTTAGCTCAATTGGTTAGAGCGCAGGATTGTGTTGTGCGGGAGATCGAGGGTTCGTTCCTCGACTGGACCAATACTCATGGTCTTAAAATAACTGAGGAGAATTTGCTGGATTTCTATAATATCAAAAAATGGATAGGTATTCTAGTCTTCTCGAATAAGGACGAATAAACCGTAGGCCCCGTCTCCTGCAGGGTTAGGGGTAGGAGACGTTAATTTTCCACGCACGAGATTACTGTGTGGTGGATCTGGGGTAGGATGGGTGGGTGTTGTTGTAAGAATGGCCCTGAAAAGCCCTATGAGGGAATGGTCAATTAACGTATGTATGTATGTATGTATGTATGTCTGTCTGTCTGTCTGTCTGTCTGTCTGACTGTAGGTAGGAAGGCAGGCAGGCAGGCAGGCAGGCAGGCAGGTAGGTATGTATGTAACAGGCGTTATTTTTGACGCAGGTCTTACTCACGTCTCGTCCGTATCTCACCTGATTCTTGTCCAGTTCACACCCTTTGAACTCCTCCTCGCCTTCGCTCTGAAATGTGACGATCACAAAACCAACGAAGATATTGACCATAAAGAAGGCAATGATGATGATGTAGATAATGTAATAAATGGCTACCCATGGCCGGTTCTTCTGATTCGGACCCTTGTCTACTTCAGTGGAGTCGATAGAATTCTCCAAAATCCTATCGAAAAGAGCAAACAACAGATTTAAGAAACCCGCCTTAGGCAAATTTGAGGCAGTAGATTGATTGGAAATTTTGAGTGTTCAATATTCATGGTTTATCTACAGGCATAAATGTGCAGAACGAAGCATGCTCACTCACCCCGGCCACCCTTCGAAGGTCATCACGGTAAATAGCGTCAACATGGCGTTGCCAACATTGTCAAAGTTGAAGTCATGCCTCCTCCACTCTCTCTCTTTAACCTGTCGAGCAAGAGTTGATTACTTCACGTTAAAAATTTAGTCTGACATTTATCTACTAGATATAGCGGCTACGTTCTTTTAAATGTAAGTAAATGATAGTTTTAAAAGTGGCGCTAGTACTGTAACGCTAGAAGACTAAGTATTTTAGTGTAAGTAGTATACATATTTAGTATAAATCCCTGTATACATTAGACATTGGAGGACAACCGTAGAAAAATAAATGAGGGACGGAAGATGGAACTGGGGGCAGCTTGACAGACTGGCAACCGAAAGAAATCAACGGTGTTCTCTGGCCGAGGCCCTTTTTTGCATAGAGGAACGAAGAATTAACTATGCACTTAACAGATTTCGTAGAAATCAAAATTATCATTCGTGTCACAATAGCTAATTGACACAATGCATTCAACCATAAATCGCTACAAAAGAGCAATGCCGCTTGGGTCATCATGGATCTTTTATAAAAATCTATCAAAACATCGAAACTCACCACTGGGTTTGATAATCCAGGTCCTTTGAAATCGATATAGTTTCCCCTGAAAGACATCAAATTACATTAGTTTGCATCGACGAACAATAAACAATTTGATGAAATGCTTTCGAGAATTACTCCCATGGATATTGGAAATTACAAGCTGCCGACTACTCCTAATAAAATATCCTACAACGCAATCATCGTGTCAAATTGAATCATATCCTTGATGAATGAAACAATAACCTCTACTTGGCGCGAAAATATGTGCAGATATTTGTCCACGGAAAACAACCAGTTTCCGAGAGCGAAGCTCGAGGAAAACTGTGAGCTTCGAGGAACAGATAATGTCTCAGGACAAATATCTGTACATATTTTCGCACAAAATAGAGGCTATTATCCTTCAAATGTATTGTAACACGCTTGAAAAAATGTTTACGAGCAACTCACTATATGCGGCGTGAATGTTTAAGTTTGAGCGTCCTTTGCTGGGAGTTCCTGAACAAAAATATATTTCTTTCCTTTCGTAACAACCACAAAACCCTTTTTCATCTTGAATTAATTTAAAACGAAGAATTATCGCAGTGGACGTAAGGTTTGAANTTCCTTGTGAATTAGTTCAGATAATTTGTTCTTACAGAGTACTTTTCAGTTGAATGCGTCGATAATAATTCTAGCTCGGTTTGGATTGCTTTACTACGCTATACGATTGGTCCAAAAAGTCACGCCAATTCCCCAACCAATCAGACTCAATCAGCTAGGTGACAGTCACATCTATACTCGTATTTGTTGATCTCAGTCGACGAAAGACGTAAACGAGATAAGTTTCGATTACCTTGAGTCCTTTCGCTCTGTTAATCGCCCTCAAAGGTCTTAACACTCGGAGAACCCTGAGAATTCTGACAACAGAAAACTGGGAAGTCCTGTGGAAAATCGTTGCACACATAAGTCAGTTCACCACTTAGCAAATGGTATAAGCTGGCAAGTTTCTAAAGAAACAATGGTGGTTCATCGGTAGGGGAATATAACAAGGTATTTCTGGTTTTATCAACTGAGTCGATAATTTAAATTGGGCACCGTAAAGAAATTAAAAGCTGACGTTTGGAGCACACCCTTCGTCATTCGCTCTGACAAAGAGCTAACGCTCGAAACGTCAGGTTTTTTAAAAACTCTTAAGGCGGCCAATTTACGTCATTAACTCAGTTGATAAAACCAAAATGAATCGTATAAGCGTCTCGTTTTCGGCTAAAAATGCATGACTTTTTCTTTTAAATTCACCCAAAAGTTTTCCAATCTTTTCCATCCTACACTAGTTTCGGCCCAGTTTGGTTTATTTAAATACCTCGTGGATGATTTCTACTCTTGTAAACTATTCTCCAACACCCGACACTCAACACTCGAGCGATCCACCTACATCTTCAACTTAAGCTGTTGACGGGGGCCTGAATCAAAATATGAATTTTACTAACACACTTACCTGAGGCTTATTGAAATTACAGAAACGGATACGACTAATAAGTCCAATAGATTGAACGCACTGCGGCAGAATGATCCCTTGTGAAGGATAAGACCATAGGAAATAAACTGAAATAAGGAAAAAAAGGACAATCCCACCCTTAGTTAAACATTTTTTTCTCGACAGATACTGCGCAACCTCCCAACTCGGAAGTAATGTACATAAATGACATTTAACGATCTCAATGAAATTGTGTCACGATTACCTTGACGAGGATCTCAAAAGTGAAGACGGATGTAAAGAAATAATCAAAATAATTGAGAACCTGCAAGGAAAAGAAAGGGAGAACAAAAAGAGACATTGAAAAGCGTCCGTGAGAATAAAGTTGCCTGAAGGAGCGTTTCTTTGTGTGACACAGCTATATGAATATTACAATTAGGAAAAAAAACATTAAAGTATAGGTCTACCCCGACGAAACGAGCCCTGAGTGACGAAAGCTAATACACTCCCCACAAGTCAGCCAGGAAGGAGTATTAGGAGACAATCTTGCCCTTCTCCTCAAGAAAATATCAAAAATATAATTTGGTTTTCCAAGGAAGTTTTTATAGAACATATGCTAGTGGAGCTAAGCCATGCAAATCATTCAACGGAAACAAGACAAAGTTGAAAATCCCAACTGATAAGAGGCAAACCAGTTGGCAATTAAGGGGTGCGGCCTTGGACTTGGACCCAGGACCACCACCCAATCCACACCCTCAGGAGATCTGCTTTCTTGACACCTTACCTGATTTCTCTTTGCGCTAGCATTGAGTGGATCCTCAGCCGCCAGCAGAATACTACTCACAATAATGAGGCATAAAATAAAATTAACAAAGTATGTGTTGGTGGCGATCTTGTAGCAAACGACACGGAATCTGACGAAGAAAAAACAGAACAATTGTCGTGTTAGTTGGTGATAGTGATGATGGTCACGACGAAACTGGTCGTATCCAAAGCAAAGTCGAAAGTCGAAAGACGATAGTCGATAGACAAAAGTCGACGGTAAAAAATTCGAAAGTCGAAGTCGAAAGTCAAAGCTGCGTTTAACAGGCAACTCTAAATTGAAAGACGAAGTCAAAAGTCGATCGTCAAAGGTCAGGAATCAAAAGTTGACATTCGATACTCGATAGCCAAAAGTCGAAAGTCGCCGTCGCGATTTCCAGGCAAAATCTATAACTACGTTCAAAACACTCGACTGACATGACTTCTTATTGAACTCGATGACTTTCGCTCAGGTAGTCAAAACGTCGGTCATTGCTACCGACAACAGTTCTTTGAAAGACAACTCTTATCCGGATGAAGAGAGCTCACGATTAGCTATTTCTCCTGGGTTCAAACCCTTTACTGCGTTAACGCGGAAACTGATATCCCACAATCAAGTTTGAAACGCACCGCACAACACTCAACAGTTAAGAAGGTTTTCTTTTACGCGTGCGCGCCCCTTCCTACACGCATTTTGCTTCGGATGACGATGAAGTTTTTTTTTGCGCCACGTGAAAGGTATCTTTGCATGTCTAATAGGCACACTACTCACACTTAACTTATCTTAACCGTTTACACCCTAACATCAGTATGCATATTCTCCATACTGTTCTCTACACATTTCCTAAGGTGCTGACAAGGAGAATTTGTTGAACAATCAAGAGGTTGTTCATTTCCTTAATTCTCCTGACCTTAATGTGTGATTCAGGGGTGATATTGTAAAGAGAAATTAGATGTTAGTAATTCTCAGGAGTCCAAGGGTTGATACTTACATGTTAGTAGGAGAGAAAATGAATAAAGCTGACTCTGGCGGCATTGGTGCCCTGTCGATATCGTCACTTGAGCTAGCACTAGCACTTTCATTGTTGTCTAAACCACCAAAAAACACAAACAAACGATAAATAACGACAGTTAGGGAAATTGTCAATGCAGTGTCCAAAGGAATTTGAGATTCTGTTGGTTTTGCTTGGATCCGCTTTGTAATCGGTTGATTAAACTCACGCCACTCTTTCAACCAATCACATGCCTCACTACTTGGTCGTCTGCGTTTTCCCGCGCTTAAGACAATTCGGTTGTTTTTACTTTGAGTTCTAATTGGTTCCTTGTGTTATTTTAATTCGCTTTTGATTGGCTCTTCCTCTTCTAACACTTCAACGAAATGCGTCATCAAATATCAAATGACGCCCAGGAACGACAACGAACAACAACAACGTAGAGTGGAGTAAGACTTACTACTGACGGCAGATTTTGATCCTCCAATCTCGGAAATGTCGGTAGATTGGGCTTCAACATCGTCGTGTGAAGCTGTCTGTGAAGAGGATTTAAAAAGAGAAAGTTTCACGGGTGACTCCCACAACTATAACTTTGGCCCAGTTACAATTACCTTAAGTCGCCTTATATTCTATAACTTTATCTCTGACAAAACCCCTTATCCAAAACCTGACATGCCGGTTCCTGAACAAGTCGACTGGTCAAAGGAAAACAAAAGATGGACGAAACAAACAAATGTGGTGCTCACGCTCGTGATTGACTTCACAAAAAATCCCAAACTCAGACTTTTCTCTCGCGGAACGATACTCCCATTTGGACTGGACATGACAGCATTTGACACTTCACGCGTTACCCTTCAATCAGACCTCTTTGTTAAGAATGTCCATACTAGAAACTAAACATTATAAAAATGTTTTTACTTTTTAACAGTTTAAAAAGTTTCCGTTTCCGTTTCCTTCAGAAATTTCCACGCGTTGAATCGATAGGCATAAATGTAACAAGTAGGCACCATCTAACGAAGCCACCCTAATGCGAACGGTTCCTTTCTTAACACATCAAGCGCCGAATGATCGAGCTAACTATCATTGGCCGATTATTAGACCAATTCTAAAGGAAAAGAGACAATCCTGTGTCACACAAGATTACGTGACCAGGACTAGAAAAACACCGTTTAGCCAAAAAGAAGTAAAAGTCACGCAAGATAACGTGATTGTGAACAGGCGATGCATTCTTTGTTCAAAGAAGTGTACCATACCACCCAACAATTGTCCAATTAATGTTAAACTTACTCTTGCAACACCATTTCCGTTGAGAGTTCCCGTGGAATGAAGTTCTTGTGTTGATTTGTCTAGTGTTCTAAAAAAAACAAAGGGGAATGCGATTTGTTTTATTCTGGCGAAACGTTGCACACTTCTCGTCTGTAGTAAATTGGTTTAGGTTTAAATCTATCAACTTGTTTAAATGGTTTAATGGTTTAAACCATTTACTGTAATTGAATCTAAAGTGAACCAAATGATTTTCGTATTGGCTGAACGGTTGTCACATGTTCATCGGGTCACAACATTTCCGCTAGATACTAAGATCTCAGTTGATTCTCTCTACCCAGTCCCCGCATACAAGAAGTTAGTTCTTACACATTTGACCGTGATGCTGAACTGTGATTGGGTACAATAGCACCATCCTGGTCAATCCTGCTTTGCGAATCCACGGAACCTTTCATTTTTAGGGCTTCCTTTTCCCTGGCTTTCTCCTTCTTCTTTTTCTTCTCTTCTTCCATTTCTGTTAAGTTTTCAGCGTCGGCAAGATTGTCGACGGCAATGGCCAAGAACACATTCAGAAGAATGTCTGATAAATGTTAAGGAACCTCGCACGCCAAGCCAAAACAAAACAAAACGTTTCTAATTTCAGCAAAGAAAATTCGTAGAAATATTTGCTCGAAGCTCACAAGAAATGATCATTTTCAGAGGGGTGTATTGAGGTGAGACGGTGTTAAAGAGAGATTTTGAACCTTAAAAGTTAGAGATTCTAGACAAAATATATCATGATGAAAAAGAAAAAAATCAAGACGACAGAGTAGATAGCAGTGGTGGATCCAGGGGGAAGGTCCGGGGGGCCCGGACCCCCCCTATCAAACCTGACGCTTACAACTTTGAGACAGGATCGTATATAACCTTTAACTGGCTGATTTTTTTAATGAATCCAAATAAACGGTAAGCGGCCAAGGAATTATAACGTGCAACCGCGACTGGTGGGAGGGGGTGTGGGGGGTTTAGGTGAGAAGCAAATTGCCTGAAAAGAGTCCAACAGTCCTTTCTGAACCAAAGTTTGGAACCGCCCCCCCCCCGCCAATCAAAAATTCATGGATCCGCCTCTGGATAGAGATGTAGAAGGATACAGTTGCCAACGACAACGAGGAATATAAAATACAAAATGGCAATCGCTGAACCGCCTTCTCCAATGCCACCCCATGCACGGATACCATCATACATAACGGCGTTCCAGTCCTCGCCTGTGAGAATCTGATAACATAATATTCAGAAGGAAACAAGAAAGGTTTAGATTTTACTTCTTCCAACGGGTTGCGCTACATATAATAGCAACATGCACAAATCTCACCTGGAAAACTGTTATGAGTGCCCTCCAAAAGGAATCGAAGTTACTGCGAGGAATTTCGTCATCGTCTATATTGAATCTTCAGGGATGAAAAGGAGAGAAAAGAAAAAAATAATTGCACATAAAGACACAATTTCAAACTGAAGCGCTCACACTTAATATTCTGCAGCGATCGGTATAAGCACAAATGCGATATTACGAACGGATGGACAAAAAATGCACGAACGGAGACATAAACAGAGAGGGGGTCAGAGAAAGTTAGAGGTGAGAAGAATGCACTCTGGAAGTACATAAAAAAAGCCGAGTGAAACTAGAATTGGAGACGAAATCCTTTGAGCTAGAGCCTACACATAAAAAAGGGTCTTTACTTACTTTCCACCAAAGATCTGCATTCCAAGCAGTGAACAAATGAGCATAAATAGAGAAAGCAGCAACAGAAGACCCGCTATGGACCTCATGCTGTTCAACAGTGACGCCACTAAGTTGCTTAGTGAGCTCCAGTATCTAAATCAGAAGGAAAGATAATACGTCACTCGTTATTTGCATTTTGACTCGCCCTATGGGCTCGTCAAAATACGGCACAACTCGTAAAAATACTCAGCGATACTACACAACAAAACGTCTAATAAGATATATATACTGCAGTAAGAACCATTAACTGTCATCCCAGGATTCTATCCTGTAGCTGATGTGTTTATCTATTGTCCTCACCTATTTGCTTCATAATGTATTGATATCGCGAGGAGAATTTGCATGTTTATCATTTCTGGGAGTGACGAGTTCCTTACCTGGTTACTTTGAAAATCCTAAGCAGACGAATACATCGCAGAACACTGATTCCAATGGGAGGCTGCTTCAACGCTTCCGTGATTGCCAACTCTAACAAACTACTAATTACAACCTGAGGGGGGAATAAGTAAGAAAATCCACCAAAAATCGATTTCGAAAATCTAATGATGAATCTTTGTTCGTAGCGTAGAACATTACAAAGAACATGACCCAAGCCAACGTTAATGAGTCGAACGATGTAAAATGTCAACACCAATTCCAAACCGAAAACGGTCATATATGTCACGTTTAAGTACAACTTCAGCCAGTGAACCGCTACGAAACGTTTGGGCCAATGGCAAACGGCGAAAATGAGCTCTGATTTGCCTCACTTTTCTCATAATCTTGCCAAGAACGACGGCACAAAAGTTCATTTTTGCTGTTTTCCGCTGCACACAACATGCTTACCTCTAAAAAAATGGAGGGCAAAATTACTGAATGCTGATTGGTCAATGAAGAGGGTATTTTTCTTAATTTTGCTTGAGAAGAGGGCAAAATTACTAACTCATGATCGGTACTCAGGTTGCCTAGCAACAGCTTATGCTGTCGAAAAGTTGTTGCTGATGATTTTCTGTAACAATGTCGTCTCGTTTCGAGATAGTTGACGAGGAATATATCGAAGAATTAAAAGACAAGAGTGAAAACGAAAACACGAGGAAATGCACGGAGTACTGGAAGAAAGTTTTTAAAAAGTGGGCCAAGCAAATTTAGAAGAGTACGAGAGCGATGTCCTCGACCGAACACTGGCGCAGTTTTATGCCGACTGATTGCTGAAGAGCGCATTCAGAAATTCAGTAATTTTCCCCTCAATTTCATAAAATTTCAGTAGTTGCTGAAAACACAAGTGATATTAATCCTTAATTTTACTCGGCCCCAAGCGATTACCTATACTAACTGAATATTGAAAATGAAACACTTTTTAGTTGTACATGTTTTTTACACTGTCATGCACAAAAAATTTCTAACCAAGAAATCTTAAATTTAGGTCACCATTATGAGAAAGGTCTATGACATTAGGTAGCCCAGCCATGTGGCTGTTTATTTTTAATTCCTCACACTTACCAGGCAATCAAATCTGTTAAAAAGTGACGCGAAGTAGCCGTGAAATCCTAGACAGTACATCTTGACTATCATCTCAATAGTAAATATTCCTAAAAATAACTTATTTGCTATATCTGAAAGAAAAGACAACAAATTGAAGTCAGTTTTTTGTCTTCCCTCAAGTGTTGTCTCGCCCCCTCCCCCTTAGTAACAATATTAAATGCAAGCTCTCTCCGCATCGGCGGTATGTCACCACAAGGGAGGGGTGGGTGCGGCTAAAAGAAAAAGCGAGAAGAAGCGAGGTACCACTTCTCCCAAATTATGCTTTCTGCATAATCATACTTGACAAGAAAAAAACTATCTCTTCCTAAAAAACCGAAAACACCTACAAAAAAAAAAAATAATAAAACAGCTTACCTAAAAATTTGGTTAAAAAGTCAGGTTGATCATAATGTTCCAATGCTAGCGTCAATGAGTTTAAAAATACGACTACTATGACAATCCAGTAGAAAGCTTGTGTTTTCACTGCTTTGCGCAGCTCCCGTCTGGCGCGGTGATGCCACTTTTTTAACACTTTCCTGTTATGAAAAAAATACAACAACAACGTAAAGGAAAGTAGTAACAAAGAGAAAAAATGAAGACGATGGAAGATATGAGAGGATGAGTTGAAAAGTGAGGGGGGAGGGGGTGAAGGAGAGGAAACAGATTCATAAAGAGGAGAATATCATACATTATTACACGACTCGGGCAGTCAGAGGGCCAATAACTAAAATCAACCAACCAAAATGCTCTATTGCCGGTCAATATTCTCGCAGTATTGGACCGGGCACTGTCCCGAATGGTCCCGAATGGTACCGCACTTGTGTCCCTTTGAACTTCAGTCGTATAATAAATCTCTTATTAACCAAGCTTGCTTGGGACCGTACTGGAAGAATATCGAACCTCGGTCTTCTTTGTACGGACCTCGCTGCGCTCGGTCCGTACTGTCAAGACCTCGGGCCATACTGTCAAGACCTCGGGCCGATATTCTCCCAGTACGGCCCTCGCGCTTGATTAATAAGATATATATATATAGTTTGTGACCGATCGAAAAGCGTTCTACCAGCTTGTGTTCGTTACGTTTAAACACGACCCGGGGAAACTAGGCCAGGTGCATCCAGTCGAGGCTAATCGCTTGGTAAGGGACAAGGGAGGGAATAGTTTTTTTAAAGGTTTTAAGGCGTTTACATTATTGATATAGTTACACTCATGGTTGGAAAATCGTCTTACTTTTCGTTGTGACACCAACCATAGTGGTGCGTATCATGTTGGGAAATACTGTCTTGTCTCTCATTTCTATCGATCATTTCAATGTCTTCAGTTCTGGATTGTCTTGATGCTTTGGGAGAAAATCATTCAAATCACACTGAATAGTTACGACTTAACGCGGTTCTTTAAGTCACCCTTTCTAACCGAAATGTTCTTTCGTGTCATTTCTGACCCTGATACTTTGCTACTGTAAAATAGCTTCTATTCGCAGGCTTCCAATTGCGCCATTAAGTCTAAATTCTTGAACTATAAATAAGCAGTAGTATTTTACAATCTTGTCATGCCACGAAGTGTTCACATCACGTTCGTTTTTGCATCACGCGACGCAACAGCACGCAAGGCCCCGCCACACAGCTTCAAGGACTTAATGACTTTTAAAACACCACTTCACGTCGCATTCCACACTGGAAAGGACCGATAAACTTTACGTCCTATCATTAGGTTATGTTGAGGTAAGTATTATAATCAATCTACTCTACATTTTCCTTAAAGGTATATGATATCGCGATTTTCACATCCATTACAATTCTTACAAGTCTTTTTGGAAGCTTTTGACTCGTCACCACTTTCGCTTTCACTGTCGCCTTCAATGTCCTCTGTGAAAGGAAAAACACAGAAATTCAATTGGTTCGAGGTGTGTACATGTGTCTGCTGACTACAGTATCCTTCTATCATTTAGTATGCCGGATATTCTTCCAAGTACCCTGCAGTCCAAAATCCGCATTTCTTGCAGTTTTTCTTTCAGTTTTGTTGCAATTAAGGTTACATACATGACAGCAAGATGGAATTTTTTTTTCAGAATAAAAACTACTTGTTTTTGTTGCCAAAGTCTTACCCTCTAATCCCACTCATTAAGTGAATTATATTGCTACCGTCCTTGGAAAATATTGCTCAAATCGATTTGCTGATGGTTGAGAGAGTGTCTAACTCTTCTTTTAGACGTAGCAAAAAACGTATTTGCCTAAATCGCGATTATTAACAAACCTTAATTGATTTGTAAATAATTAAAGATTTTCTTAAGACCAAGTAAGGTTTTCTTTTCACTGTGTCACTTACCAGCTTGTGTAATCCAATCGAGGTAGCCATTGTAAGCATCTTCGACTTGCTGCTTTTCTCTAAACTTTTGGAATTCACCACTCTTCTGTGCTCTCGCCTTTTCTTTGGCAAATTCTCTGTACACAGAGAACATTCAGCATTGATAGTTTGAAGTCATGAAATATGATTCCGTAGTTCTTTACAATTAGCAGTTCTCCACATGAATTTAAAATTTCGGCACAAAGTTGAACATCTTCCCTTTACAAGATATTACTTTTGTCACAAGCACACAAATGGAGACTACGGTTTTAAGTAACCTTGTGTATCACTTAAAAAAAAAAAAACAAAACACAAACAAACAAAGACAATGTCACTTACCCACTAAGTACACCAAGAACTAAGTTGAGTACGAAGAAGGATCCCCAAATGATCAGGGTAACAAAGTATACCCAAGGCCAAGAGTTTCCTACTGCATCATTTATCTGCAAAACACACACTCGTTAGCAATTCACTTAGTTGGTACGACATTAACTTTCTGATTTTCTACACGGAAACCCAATGCATGGCGATTAAACATTTATAGTTCAATCGCCAGATGGAACAATTTTCGCCTAACAACCAAATACGATGGCTGAACTGTTAACGACGTAGCTTTGCTTAAATCACTTTCCTGTCCGCACACGTTCACCGGTTGGGTGCATAGAGACGTAACGAAATAAAATGACGAAAGTGTCGTTCTTTGAGCGCTGGCTGACATGAAGATCATTGCCAAGACTTTAAGTTCGTCCCTTGCTTACGATTAGCATTTAAATTCTGATCTTCAACCGCATTGGCGACCAGCTGTACGCAATTTCGGACCGTGATTCATTATTCTTCATGCCATGTGGCACATAAGGCCTAAACACAGTCCCGCCAACCAGCTCTGTCAGCCGCTGCGATTTGTACTTCACTCCAGTTCTTCCATCCAGCTTTTTCCCTTTCTCTCTCTGCTGTCTTCCTCCATGTTGTCTTTGGTCTGCCCCGTTTTCGCCACCCTTTTGGGGTCCAGGTTAGTGCAGTTCTGCAGTCATTATTTGGTTCTTTCCTCATGATGTGGCCGATAAATTTCCATCGTCTCCTTCGCACACCCTCACTAAGGTTCTCCACCTCAGCCATCTTCAGGATTTCTTGGTTTGTAATTCTTTCCTGCCAGCGTATCTTAAATATCCGTCTGAGACATCTGCTTTGGAAGACTTCGATTTTGTTCTCATCACTTTTGTTCATTTTCCATGTCTCGCAGCCATACATTAGGACTGGCTTTACTAGTGTCTTATACAGCCTGATTTTGGTTCGTCGATTAATGTTTTTACTATTCCATATCTTTGTCAATCTTACGAATACCCCTCTCGCTTTGACTACTCTGTTGTGGATTTCCTCAGTGCCTCCATGCCCTCTTTGGAAGCTGTAGCTCCCAAATACACAAATCTATCAATATCTTCTATTCCTCGTCCATACACCTCCACCAAATCGTTGCTCCTCGAATTTATCCGCATTAGTTTACATTTCCCTACATTGACTTTCAGTCCCATCCAGTTTCTGCTTCATGTGCCAACTTATCGGTCTTAGTCTGAATGTGCTGCCTTGTGGTGATGACAAAAGGGCTATATCATCCGCAAAGTCGAGGTCCTCGAGCTTTGTGGTGAACGTCCATCTTATTCCGGTGTTCACCTCTTTCAATGTATTTCTCATCACCCAGTCCACGACTAGTATGAATAGTAAACCTGACATGTTGCAGCCCTGTTTCACTCCAGTTTTGATCTTAAATCACTCCGTTGTGTCCTGGCCATCCACTACTGCGCCACTACCTGAACTTGTATATGTTGTATTTATAACAATTTCAGGTTGAAGTGAGTTCAACCTAGTTTGATTCGCATTTTTCTTTGATTCAGTAAGGATTATGCTGGATTATGGTAATGTGCCCAGAACAGAAATCTTTCTTATAGTCTGAAATTCATTTTCAACAACAACTTGTCAACTAAAATAAATAAAAAGGACCGGGCACAATTTTCAAATAAAGAGGGGTTCAATTCTGCTGGGACACCAACATAAGCTGACCTTTTACTTACCCAGTATAAAACATCAGTCCAACCCTCAAGTGTAATACACTGGAACACAGTCATACAGGCCAAGCCAATATTATCAAAATTTGTAATTCCATGATTAGGTCCTTTCCAGCCTCCCTCACAGACCTGGCCTGCAGCTTTATCGCACTGAAATCCTGAACTACCAGAGCTACATGGGTGAGGCTCTTCAAAGGATTCTGCACCTGGTATAAGAAATGGAAAAACAGGTATTATAGACTTGCCTCTCCATTACTCCATTACTAGGGGCATGCTCGCCTAGAATGTCAAATGCTGGATGTAGAGATCTAGGTCAACCTCTAAACAGGCTACTTTCTGGTGTTCTTTGGCAAAAAGATTATGCTAATAATTATTGGCCCTCTACACCCAGGCATAAACAATGAAAATGGCAGGTAACAGTGAAATGAATGGAGAACTTATTAAACTGTGGGAATAATTTGAATTACGGCATTTCACTCTAGAAAAGTGGAAAACTTCTTGCCCTTCATCATCCCACTGAAACTAAATATGCTTCAACGTATTGCATTCTGGGTCACTATAGACAATGAGAACTCAAAATAAAAACAAACCAACTGCCTAAAGCGGAAAATGCCTGTGACCAAGTTGTGATTGGTTTTCATTGCATCTGATTGGCTGAAAGAGTGGCATGAGTTTTCTGGACCAAGCACAGAGGAAAGTGAAGCAAAACCAAAAGAGTTCAGGATTCCTTTCAACACTCCCTTTAAAACTGTTCTAGAATAATGTATGTTAGAGAACAATTACCTGTTACGTTATCATAGCATGTCTTGTGCAGGCGACCCATAAACAACTCCACGCCAATAATTGCATAAATAATCACAACAAAAACTACCAGCAAGGCAATGTGGAAGAGAGGTATCAGGGCCTTGATAATTGAATTTAATACAACTTGTAAACCTGTAATGAAAAATGATAAATCAAAAAAATTGATTGAAGAACAATAACCTGAAGCCTGCAAGATGCAACTTAGTCTGTTCAAAAATAAAAAAATATTTCTAGCACTAATTACTACAGTAAAGTCATGATTCACACAGGTGTACTGCAATTTAGACAAAAATTCAGACTTCAATAGGATTCCAACCTGTTTCTCCCAGATACTAGTTGGAAGCTACTACCAAATGAACTATGAAGATACACATGAGGGGAGAAAATAATGGAAGGCTTATCTGTATCTTAAAGGAATCTAAATCTGAATCTGATATGGCAACATCAAATCTATTTGTTTTATGCGCTTCAAAAGCACAATTTTGTTGATGGTGATGTGAGCTATGCACCTTCTTCCAATAGATTGAGGGAAGCAAGTTTTTTATAGGGCTCATCTGTCCCGCAAAAGAATTTAAATCTGAATTTGATATGGCCACATGGAATCTATTAGTTACTCTTAAAAAGCACAATTTAGTTGATGATGACATCAGCTTATGCATCTGTCTTCCAAAAGATCATATCATAGATAAGAAATGAAAATGCACAATCATATAATTTAGCTGACAGCACAGTATTAACTGTATCAACTGCTGCCCAGTTAGCCCAAAGGGTAGTGCACTGGACTGTTGTGCAGGAGGTCGAGGGTTCAAGCCCTGGCTGGACCAACACTCAAGGTCTTAAAACAATTGAGAAGAATTTACTACCTTTCTATAACATCAAGAAATGGTAAGATATTCTAGTCTTCTCAGATAGGGACGAATAAATGGAGGTCCCGTCTCCTGCAGGGTTGGGGTAGGAGATGTTAATTTCCCATGCACGAGATTACTGTGCGATGGATGTCCTCTCCTGGGGTGGGATGGTGGGTTTGTTGTGAAGGCCATAAGTTAGATAACTCATTGGGTTAATTACATCACCTTCGTTAAATAAAGAGTAAATTCTTGTATTGTATTGTATTATAACAAAGCATGCTTGATACTTACTTGGAACACCAGACACCAGTCGTAAAGGCCGTAAGACTCTGAAAGCCCTTAGAGCTTTCACATCAAAACTTCCTGAACTCAGAGTTGCTTTTACTAAAATAGTTGCCAATCTGAAAGGAGAAATATCCAAGGTGAAACCTCCTTCAAAAGACAAAGTTATGCTTGTAAAAGCATTATATAACTCCAAAGAATTAACCTGCATGTCACAACTTTTTTCAATACTTGCACCATGTGAAAACCAGCCCACTGATAGTAAAGGTATAAAAGTGGTTAAAAATACTTTACCTAGGGTATTTAAAAACCAGTAACCAATTAGCCCCTTCTGCAATATTCTACCAATATACCCCCCAAGATCATCACACTAATTCATTGGTATTATCGCAACAAAATGTTATTATCAATTTTGCCACTCTTTAAAAAAAAAAGCATACACTCACAAAACGAAAGCCCTCTTTATTTTACCCTTTACAGCCAAACATCAGTTTGCAAGTTCCCCATACTGTTCTCTATAAATTTCCCATGCTACTTTAAAAGAGAATTTGCTTAATAATCTAGCACTTCTTAACCTCACAATCATTTCCATTATTCTCATGGCATTGACCTAAATGTTTGATTCAGTGCAGATAATGTTGGGAGAAATTACATGGTGATCACACATAGGAGATAAAAGGTTATTATGCATTATACCTACCCTACTACAACAATTACAAAATCTAAAATATTCCATCCATTTCGAAGATATGCTCCCGGGTGGAAAAGAAATCCATAAGCTATTATCTTGAGCACAGCTTCCATTGTGAAAACTGCTAAAAACACATATTCTGCCACTTCCTGTAAACAAGCATTAGACACCAGGTTAGTAATTTAAAAGCTTCCTTAACCCAGTGTACATAACTGAGTTTGCATATACTCAGTTATGTACACTGAGTATACTCAATATATGAACTTCATATATACATTGTATCTGTTTTATCATTACGGGTTTATTACGAATCAACTTAACGGCCTGCTCCCAGTTGGCTTGTTAGCTCAATTGGTAGAGCGCTGCACTAGAATCACAGAGGTCAGTGGTTCGAATCCTGTACAGGCCTGATTTTTTTCAGGTCTGATTTTCGCTATTGCATAAATGGCGCTCTCTACTGCGCGGATCATGCATCACACGTTTGCATATACTGTTCTCTAAATGTTACCTACCATACTTACAAGGAGAATTTGCTTAATAATCAAGAGCTTCTTAACATTGTAGTTATTTTTGTTTATTCTCATGACTTTTATGAACATTTATGTTTGATTCAGGAGTGATGCTTTTGGGACCTAGGTTGATATTGATGTCAGAAAAACATTTTGAAAATTCTTCACAAATTTGAACCATATTAAAAACAAATCCAGGTTCTTCTTCTGACTTAAATTGCAAAGTTTGCATTGTGCTTAAACCCATACATTTAAGGTTCTACAGTTCTGTTCGAACTTCAACATCTTAATTATGGTCACAAAACTGAAATACAAATCAAGAAAAGAAGTCCATAATCCCATACTAGCCAGCATATGTCATGAATGTTCCCAACTCAAAACAAAGGGCTACTTAATTATTCTGAAAGATTTTTTTTTTTTAAACTAATTGGAGTAATGCAGTATGGTGAAAATTATGGAGACAACTTTTCAACCTATCAAATTGCTAGTATCAAACAGGAGGCAGTCACCCTGACTTGGAGAGTATTTTTTTTTTAGCTCTACATTTCAGTCATAGGAACATACAAACTTTGTGCTTTCTTTCAAAAAACTTAGAACTGAATTGATTCAAACCTGGATGTGAACAGGAATGAACTTTGGAACAACCTAAATTATCAATAACTATACCTACACAAAAAGATATACAGCTCAGGAAAATATATTTTCATCGGACAACAGCAGTCACATGCTTGGTTAAGTACAATTAATCCTTCAAGGAGCATGAAGATGCTCTCTGGCAAGAAAATAACCTTTATCTAAAGCAGGTTGTAGCCTCTGCTTTGAAGAGCTATATTTAGAGCTAATTACGTATACAGAAAGACACATAAAATCTTAACTGGGCAGACCACATAATAATCAGGACACTGAACTAATATAGCAAAGATTAGATATGAAATAATTTGTTTCTCTTGAGAGAAACAATTTCTATTGGACTGCTTGCTGCAACATCAATAAACAGTGTAAAATGTAAATCTCTGAACATAAAAGATAAAAATACATATCAATTCTATTTAAATCTCACTGAATTATGTTATCTTGAATTAATTTGGAACATACAGTATACATTAACACTGAGAACTTATTTTATTACTAAAAATAAGTGATTTTGACTTTTTCAACATTAAATCTCAGTTCTGGATTTTCAATATTTCCTCTAAAAAAAAAGTTTTGGCCAATTCTCTTTTTGAGAAAAGAGACCAGGATCAAAATATTATGAATGAGCATTTTGTTTTCGCGCGGAATCCGACATTTAATTATTTTCATCTAGCTCTTCTTTGAATTTATTTCAACCTGAGTGTTTACCTTAGGACAAAAGAACCGGAATATATCGGCGTCAAGAAGCACAAACTACACTTGTAAAAATTTGAGAACATGAATAAATCTGACGGCTAGCTGGCAAGAATCAACAACGATATTAACCATTCAACCATTAAATAACTCAGGTTTCTAAAAATGTCAACTACCCTCATTAAAAAGTTTTCACGTCGAGCAATCAGAACCTTTCCTTCGCTAATTCAATATATATACTGAGATAAATGCCGATAATATAACAGAGGTTTGGTATTACGTGCATGTCACAAGCAAAAGGAATGTACTCTGAAATCAAATTTACTGATTTGTATCTTTTTCTTCGGTACAATCAACCAGTTTTTGAAATAGCAAAAAAGGTTAATTTCGAAACACGTCGATTTTTGGAGAATAAATTCTTCCGATCCGATCAAAAGATATAAAGAGATGTAAATAGAACATACGCAAACCCGAAGCGATTTGATTTTCAATGAATAAACAAGTACTTATTCGCAGAGGTCAAGTCGATATAACAGAAAGCCAGAAAACTGAAGCCTACTGGAGCATGGTGCCTTTTGTTTACATTCGCTTCATCCATTCCTCGCAGTTCTGTGACTGTGAAATTGACAACGGCGATTTCGACGGATTACCCGAACGAATTGCTTTGACTAGCATTAAACTTTAATTGGCGAGAAACACGATCAACTTCTACCTTTGTATCGAATGAATTGACTTTCATAAAAATAAACCCGCGATTTTATTTTTCAGGTCAGCTTACATACTGGAAGTTCGTGATTAGCAGAATCGTATATGACACGAGTTGTGTGGTTTAATTTTCAGTATTTAAAACAGTAAGTATTCATCTAAGTAAAAATGCACACAGTATTTACGCTCGACGCCTGCAGTTGTGTCTAATTTCTCTGAACCTAAACAAAGAGAACTGGTGCTCGATATACAAAGTTTACTAAAGACAATCAGTGACACCTCGATCAGCGATCATCTGTTCCAGAATGTTATCGCTGACCGAAGTACGAAAATGTAAATACTGTCAAGGGTAAAAAAAAAAAACAAAAACAAAATTCTGACCACGGAAAGTCTCGTTTTCCCGAAGATTTAGCCTTTTAGTAGATTGTTGAGCCAATAACAAATTTATTAAAACTAAAACAAGGTAAAGTGTATACAGTGCAATAAATCGTATGGATATTTTTATTTTTCGCGTGGCACTTCACTCGTTTACATTTGTGCAAAAATTATTTTTATAACCGGTGCTTCGATCTCTAGGATCACATGCTCTAAGCTCTTCTAAGAACAGATGAAATTTTAAACGATGTCTAGAAGCCGCAACCACATTTCACAGCATGAATATTCATCCCTATCAGAAAAATACAGAAAACCCACACACCGCGTTTACAAGTAACCTAAAAGACTTACCAGGTTGTCATTGATTTCGCTGCTATCTTTTTCTGGAAGAGGCTCAAACGCGGCCAGAGCGGCACAATTTGCGAAAATTGTGATCAGAATCATTACATCGAAAGGCTTAAGTCAAGAGTCAAGGAATATGTTTGAAATTCGTTCCAATAACACCTTAAACTAGGCAACAGAAAACCTACAAGATAATAACTGTACGACCACGAGAAGCCAAACACCCACACCGCAAAACCCAAATTCGCGCAAGAAATATTCTCTAAAAGGTTAACCACTGCTATTTAAAAGGATATTTCCATTCCACGAGATTTATGGCAGCACTTCGAATCGGATTGCCAAGAGAGAGGCATAGAAGTGCTCTCTTCGGCCGAACAGTGTTTCCAGATTTTTTCTGTCGTTTGGCAGCTACAGATTTCGCATATTTCCCACCGTGTCCGTTCAGCCGTGCTCTCGTCTGCATAAGGTCTGTCCCGTTCGGCCAGAATATTTTTGAACCTTGAGTAAAATTGGCTCTTGGATAGCCTGAAACAGTTCAGCAGAAACACTCAGTCAGGAGTTAGTTTGTTCCATATGCACCGCCGGTATAGGAAACTTGGATAAAGCATCAAGTGCCGATCTCGTATCGTGCTGCTGTTGGCTGTTTTCACTGCCCGGCCGACTCAAAACAACTCGCTAGAAATACTCACCGTTTTGTTCCATTATGGCTGCTTAAATTAGCCTGCTTCTTAAACATTTAGCTTGGACAAAGTAGTTTCACAATCATGTCAACAATTTCCAATACACATCATTAATTCCGTATTTATGTCCTACGAGTACACTTTATCCCCGTGAAACGCCAGAAGTGAAGTGCATACGGGCACTTCATTACTGAAAAGTACAACTTTTGCGTGACGCTGTCACGCTACAATTAACCCGAACAACAGTTTCCGTGACAACATACACAACTCTCTGTTACCTATAGCTCTAGCCGTGCTCCTCGAAGACTTCCACGAAAACTGCCTCTTAAAAAAATATGATTAGGTAAAAGAATAGAATATGTTTTCCGACCTTTCTTTTACAAAAATATATGAGTTAGGACACTTGGAGGTCATGCGCCTTCACTAAAGTCGTATCAATCCACTAATTTGATGACCAAACCGATGTTATTGGGATAAAAAAATTATTCACTGAGAAATAAGCTATTACATCACCGTATCATATACCTTGTGCGTGGGTTGTCTGGGTAAAAAATAAAAGAAGACGATGAGATTGAAATATTTTTTAGAGGCTTGCTCTCATTTTTCATTTCATTGGCCTTCGCGGTCCGCTATAATTTTCTATAAGCTTCGATGGGGGTAAAAAAGAGGTCTTTACCGCTGTGGCGTTCAAAATTTCTTTCACTCGTTATTTTTTTCGTGAATAATAAAAATTCTCTAGGTTTCCAAGCAGCTGCGAATTAATTTTGGGGACGCATGCGCATAAGATTTACACACCCACTCGTGAAACCTACACGGAAGTAGCAAGAGACCGGAAGGCTTTTTCTCACTTAGGATTTGAAAATCTTTAAATGATAGGAGGTAGATGGGGATTATATATCTTTTAAAAACATCTCAAGATCGAGGATAAATCAAATGGCACGTGCTATATCCAGACTACAGTTCATATTAATTCCTGAATAAATTATGGCGCGAAGTCTAAACAAACAGGTTTTTTTTTTCATTTTTTCATTTCTCTTGCGTAGAAACAAAACGCGCCGCTGTTTCGAGTTCTATCACGTATACGGACTTATACGCTCGACACACGTTTTCAACAGATATTCTAAGCCAACAATAGTTTATTTTGTTTCTTTTATTATTTTTTTTTTTTTTGGTATTTTCTCCTTGTGGGCGCACACACGGAGCGATTGTTCAAACGCTTTACATTAGCAGACCTCAACGCCAACACTCGATAAAATATTTTATCGCACATTGAAACGATCGCCTTCCTGTAATTAGGGTCATTTTACCACCTTACGAAAAATACACTCCTACTCCTTTCCCGTCTAAACTTGCAATAAAGTCTTCATTTATTAAAAGCCTGCATTCACTGGCATTGGCGTTAATTACCAGCTTAACGACCATAACAAATAACCAAAGAATCAAGAATCGAATTCCTAATTATCTAATCAGTTGGGATTCAGAAAAGTCGACGGAAAACGGTGGGTTGTAGGGCTGGCCAGAGCTCAACAGCACTCCACACTATCAAAAGTCACGAATATTCTCATCAGGAAGCATTCACAACACTTTAAAAAATAATTTATTGAAAAGATAATCTAAAGAGGGGGCTGGACCTGCCCGGCACTTTTATTCCTCATGTATTTCACCGATCACTCTTGCAATGCGATGGAAGTGAAAAGTTTGCACATGCCGTCCACACGCACAACAATAATGGAAAAAAAATGGGGAAATGACCGATAATTAAAGAGAAAAGCGTGTTATAGCGACGAATATGGGAAAGGTGCGCAAAATCCTGCCTATAGTTTTGTACACAACTGATGTACCCTTTTCTAAGATTCTTTTCATAAACCATTGCGTGTATGTTTGATTTTTAATATTGTTGTATTTGTGGACTGGTCTACATCGCCAAGGCGACTTTGGAACGTCAGTTTTAGAAACTTTCTACTGTGGCTTGTTATACTACCAACTCAGTGGATAAAAACCAAATACACTTAAGAACAGCAGATCATTTCCGTTCACATGATAGAACATTGTTTGGAAGTGGTAGTAGGTCAAGAAAAAGGTGCCTGTTCGCATTAGTACCTAGAACTGATTTCCATGATTTCTTATCGGAAATAGACAAAACGCGAAACACCTTTATTTCATGTAATAACCTACGTTGAGATTCGTGAATTCGATATAAAATAACAATAAAGAAACGTATCGTTGTTTGTGAAAATAGAACTCAAGAAACCGCATAAATGAAATCACTAACTAGTGCTTGCATACTTATTAATTTCTTAGTAATTTTTAACTTTGTCAGTGTGATGGGAACTCACCTGTAAAAATATCTACTTCTTGGGAGCTTTAGATCTCAGAAAAGCTAAAGCACTTGCATGACACCAACGTATCTTCCGCAAAAGTAAAGTTTATGCAAGAATGGATATTCAAAGCTAGTCACTTAAACGATCCCGGCTGTCGAATGCCGTATTTTTCTGTAATTGTTGTATACCGAAACAGATTGCGTGGAGTATGCAAAAGGACCAGAAGCTTATGTCGCACTGCACCCGTAAACGGGGGAGTTCGCATTGTATACCTCCTTGATTTAGCTGTTCTAAACAGTCATTGTTTTAAACAAAGGTGCAAAACGTTTTCCAAGAGCGCGGGACAAAGGTGCGATTTCGCAGTCAGATTCTACACCAACAGGGAAAAAGAGACCTTGTTGGTGTCATTGTGTTGTACTTATTATAGTTTATGACATTGTATCGATCGTTTTTTGTGTCGGCTCTAGTGTACTAGTAAACGAAGACATGAATTACAATGGCAAAGAGTTTGGGATGAATTGGAATAGAAAGGCAGGGCGTGGTCGTAGGAAGGGGTTCCGGTGCCCTGGGGAGAGGCACCGTAAGGAGTATGTGGTGTGAAGTGTGTATTAAAATCTTTTAAACCCCAGGACTACAACCTTTTAATCTGTACTCTGCATGAAATTTTTACCTGGGTTTTTTTTTTTTTTGTCTCTCGTACTCTTGCTGTTATTTCCCTAACAATTACTTTTTGTTTTTTTTCTTTTGGGCCTTTTTAAAGCAAGAATAATTGATGCTAATGTGGCATCTAGCTTCTTAAAGTTGGATTTTTGAGACAAACATTTACATTTTTTCCTGCAATTGTAGGTATTAGGAGCCTATTAGAGATCGATTTTCGAATTCAGCTGGGGTGTACTTGTAGAGTAATCACCTTGGTGCGTCACAGTCAAAGCCGAGAATGATTTGGAATAACTTCAGTAAATAGTAACTTTCTCTTAACCTAGAATAACTTTCTTTATGCGATAGCTAAGCTCAAAATTTATCATATCTTTTGCTCTATCTCCATACGTTATTCACCGCTTATCCTGCTATTAAGCTGGAAGGCCGTAAGATATGAACTGAACCGAAGAGACAGTCGTTCTACGAAACTCATTTCGTGAAGCAGACGTTTGTGAAATCAGAATTAGTTGAATGTGTTTCGAGTACTCACGCGGAACTTAATTATTCTACGCTTGAGACAAAAATTTTAAAATGTCTGTTTCTCTATTTCAAAAGCTTTGTTTTTAAGAGTGCCACAGAGGAATAGATTTAGGTTTTTATTGAAATAGAGGGATTTACTCCAACTGCACACTTTGTATATTAAAATGGCTTGCTAAAGAAGGTGGAATTACTGGTGAAAGTTAGAACAACATTTGCCTTCTTCAATAAATTGTTTTGAAAGTTTCCCGCTGCGCAAAGGCCGGCTCAACCAATTATATTGATATTGAATGCTGAACCAGATAAAACAGCAATTCGGTCATATGATGCGCTTTCTCCACAAATAGGGCCGCTTGCATGAAAATGTGTTAGCGGATATGACACGTTTTGTGAGAGTCTTCGGCTTTCACCGGTATGGCATGGGTTAGAAGATCGAAGAAACAGCAGAAATTAAGCCCAGTTTTATGCCCGGACGCGGTGTCAACTCGATGCCAATCACAGCGCGGAGAAAAGCAAAGCCGAAGCAACCGAATTAATTTCAACGATTGCTTGAAAGATGCTGTATCACCGCATGTGTGAGTGCAAACCAATCTGACTGTCATTATAATTACTATTACTATTATTATTATTATTATTATTATTATTATTATTGTTATTATTACTACTATTATTACTATTATTACTATTTTTTTAAAAAATTGTTAATGATCTTTATTTAGCAATAATTTCCATAAAATCCTCTACAATACAAATATTAACAGCGTAAAAAACGATGAAAAATAACTCACTTTCGGCTCACATCTACTCCTTTTTTTTGTCAAAGCGTCTGGAAAACTATAAATAACGGAGTCAAATCTGAACAGATTCAAAGTCTAATAATCTGATAAGTAAAAGCATATCTAAAACTATACAGAAAAGAGAAAGGTGAATGGCAAATCTAGAACCCTATATACAAGGCTGCTAAAAATCATTAAACAATGTCAATGGCTCCCTCGGCAGCTGCGATTATTACTATTATTATCAGATAACAACGTCGTTTAATGACAGCAGACCGGCTTCATTTTACGGTGGTAGATTGTTTCGATTATTTTCAATTCGCGTAATAATTGCTATGTCTAGCGGGATTAAGACTCTAAATTTACAGTCGGAAAGAATAAAAAAGGAAAAGTGATATAAATAAGATACGTGAGGATAAATTTATTGAATTGTGTCGGTTGACTACCACCACAAATTAAAAGAGTTCGCTTGATTGGTGTCTTTCTCCCGGCAGGTGCTGAGGCTAATTACTAATTAATGGAAGAGTGTTTTCATAACTTTCAACACGAAGGAAAAATTATTCATGGTTCAAATTTATTTCCATAGCAAACAAATGACTTTGCCGAAACATGTCTTCAAAAAAACTTCAGGGTTAGATTATGTTAAAAACAAGAATGAGAATGTGTAAATATGCAAAAGAAAAACAGAACCTTTAGTACTTGAGGTGCTCGTCATTGAAGGAGATTTTAATTAAAATGCATAAGGCTCTACGTATATGGCGTTTCCGCCGCGCGATTTTTTGTTTGTTGTTATATTTTTTTTTTTTTTTTCACTACAAAACTTCAGTTTGATTTATTTTACTCGAATGCCTTAAAATCTATCTGTGACGACGATTGATACAAGCTT